GATATCAGATGGAGCTTGGCCATTTAAGGCTTTATATGTGAGAAGGAGAATTTTAAATTCTATTCTGGATATACATATATATTTATGAACATGCTGTGTCTGTGTGTGTGTAATATAAATATATATATATATATATATTCATTCATTTTTCTCCCTGTTTTCAGGTGGCAGCAGCCTAACTGGGATTACCATTCAGAGGTTCATGCTTTCAGCTCCCGTCTCCATGAAAACTTCTCCATTGAACTACTTAAAGCAGCCTTCATCAATCCGTGCTACGTGCATGCAGAGCAGGAGAGGAGAAAGCAGCTAGGCGTGGACTCGGAGACCACTGCCCTGGTCCTGAAGGACAATTTCCAACTGAGTGAAAAGGGAGCGAGCTTCACCAAGAGTTTTTTGACCGACTGGTGCAGGGCAAGCTTTCCTAGTCTTCCACATGAGGGGGTTGAGGGCATTGTGGGGCACCTCATCAGTCCATCAGTGGTTTGTTATGTTGCAAGAAATCTTGGCATTGAGGATCTAACGATGAGTGCGGAATACCCGGTTGCAGATGATGTGCTGGGTTCTACGTTCATGGCGGTTGTTGGAGCTCTGGAAGAAAGCAGCGGGGCAGAGCGAGCTGCTTTCTTTCTCAGGGTAAGAGATCCATATGTGCCAATATCTTTTTTAAAGGAAGGTAAATCCCTTAAGTGGTATGATTGTTACCCACATCTTCTCTCCCTTCCAATAGGATTTCTTGTTAACCCAGCTGATAGGAAAGGACTTGTTTGACATGTGGACTGTGATGAACCCAATGGGACTGCTGGTGGAGGAGCTTACAAAGAGAAACCTTCCTCTACCAGAGCCTCGTCTCATCAGGTCTGCTGGTGCCAATACTGTCCTGCCGCTCTACTTCGTCGGTTTGTACAGGTACATGTGTAGTCATGCATGATGTTTTTGCTTTATAAATGTTTGTATATTGAGACTTCTAGAAATGACGACTGTATAATTTATTTTCACATTTTTTATCCAGTGACACCAAACTCCTGGCTCAAGGTCCTGGAGAGACTCTTGTTGGAGCTGAAGAGGAAGCAGCACGTGTGGCTTTACGCAAACTTTATGGCTACACTGAAAACCGCAGACCCTTTGACTTCTCTCCTCCACAGCTGTATCAGCAGACGTTGCTTCAGTCGGTCACTGGCAACTGACTCAATCAACAAAAATCAGAGTAAAATGCAGAGAAGCTGCAGCTACGACATAAGAGACATTTGATAAAGTCCTTTTTTAAAGGATTTACCATATTACAATTTCAATTGACGTTGCTATGAAAGCCAAGGCTGTCTGTTGTTCATACAAGGGGTAAAAATTCTGAGACTAGTTCATAGCCTAAAACATCGAGTTACATTTGAGTTACCTGTAAATCCTGCAGGTGTGATGTGCTTTATATTCTTCATGAAATAAAATGTAATGATAAATGCATACGTGATTTTTTTTTTTAACTGTCATTTCTGTTTAATCTGTAAAAGTGTCTATGTAATGCAAACATGTAAATGGAATTCTGCATTTGAACCCCTTTGAGATTTACTTTAAGGGGTTTTATTGCCAGATTATAGTATCTTTTATTGCATTAAAAGAATTGCTTAATTAACTTACAATTTAGTGACTTAAAACTAAAGTAATTTTATTTGGGAAATATGTTTCATGTTTCTACTATAGCTGCAAGTCTATTGAAGAATGTGTTTTCAATTTTGCACATTTAGCATCAGACTTATTGGCTTCAGTTATTTTCTTTTTTTAAGTATTAAAACATTTAATGGTCATTCACCTACAGTAGGGCCAAAAAGTATTTAGTCAATTCAGTTTATTTCTATAGCGCCAATTCACACCAAATGTCATCTCAAGGCACTTTACAGTTCAACCAGATCATACATTCAAATGGATTAAAAGTTTTCTATCTAAGGAAAACCAGTTGATTTATTGACTCATTGACCCGAATGCAATCCCTCACACTAAGCATGCTTGTAGCAACAGTGGAGAGGAAAAACTCCCTTTTAACAGAAAGAAACCTCCAGCAGAACCAGGCTCAGTGGGAGCGGACATCTGCCGAGGCCGACTGGGGTTTAAGGAGACAGAAGCAGCGATAGAAAAAGCAGCTGTAAAAGGCAACCGCGTCCAGGAAACACAGCCAGGCAGACGAGCTCGAAGCCAGCTCCCATGTCAGAGGATGAAGAGAGCACAGCCCAGTCAGTCAGAGAAACAGGACTACACTGGAAAACCGGTCGATTTCCAACATCTATAAACAAAGGTGTTGATGGCAGCAGCACAGCTACTGATTGTGCAAGTTCACCTACTTAGGATAATGAGAGAGGTCTGATATTTCATCATAGGTACACTTCAACTATTAGACAAAATGAGGAAAAAAAAAAAACAGGAAATCACATAGTAGGATTTTTGAAGAAATAATTTCTAAATTATGGTGGAAAATAAGTAATTTGTCAATAACTAAAGTTCAGCTCAGAGATTTGTAAAATCACCTTTGTTGGCAGTGACAGAGGTCAAATGTTTCCTGTAAGTCTTCACCAAGTTTGCACACACTGCAGTTGGTATTTTGGCCCATTCCTCCATGCAGACCTCCTCTAGAGCAGTGTCGTTTTGGGGCTGTGTCCCTGGACAACACAGACTTTCAACTCCCTCCACACATTTTCTATGGGGTTGAGGTCTGGAGACTGGCTAGGCCACTCCAGGACCTTGAAATGCTTTCTATGGAGTCACTTCGTTGCCCAGGTGGTGTGTTTGGGATCATTGTCATGCTGGAAGGTCCAGTTTCAAGGCTCTGACTGATAGAAGGGGGTTTTGGCTTAAAATCTCACAATACATTCATTCTTTCCTCAAGTGGATCAGTTTTCCTGTCCCCTTTGCAAATAGCAACCGTTTCCTCCCCCATGCTACACAGTAGGTATGGTGTTCTTGGGATGCAACTCTGCATTCTTCTTTCTCCAAACACTACGAGTTGGGTTTTTACAAAAAAGTTCTATTTTGGTTTCATCTGACCACATGATATTCTCCCAATCCTCTTCTGGATCCTCCAAATGGCAAACTTCAGGCAGGCCTCGACATGTACTGGCTTGGACAGCGGGACACGTCTGCCACTGCAGGATTTGAGTCCCACTCAGTATAAATAGTGTGTTACTCATGGTAGCCTTTGTTAGTTTGTTCCCAGCTTTCTGCAGGTCATTCATCAGGTCCCTCTGTGTTGTTCTGGGATGTTTGCTCATGATCATTTTGTCCCCACAGGATGAGATCTTGTGTGGAGCCCCAGATTGAGGAAAATTCAGTCGTCTTATATGTCTTAGGTTCACTCTTCAGGCCTGATGCAGGTCTATTTTCTTCCTGGTTTCCTTCAGCAGCTCTATGATCTTGGCCATGGTTGAGTTTGGATTGTGACTTTTTGGTGCTGTGCTTTTATACAGATAACGGGTTCAAACAGGTGCCAATAATACAGGTAACGAGTGGAGGACAAAATAGCTTCTTAAAGAAGAAGTTACAGATCTTTGAGAGCCAGAACTCTTGCTTGTTTGTGGGTTACTAAATACTTATTATCCACCATAATTTACAAATAAATTCTTTAAAAATCCTCCAATTTGATTTCCTGATTTTTTTCCCCTAACTTTGTCTCTCAAAGGTAAAGTGTACCTATCATGAAAGTTACAGACCTCTCTCATTATTCTATGTAGGAGAGTTTCCACAATCAGTCTCTGAATGAAACGTTTTTGGCCCCACTGTAAATATGGTCATGTATTTTAAGGTTTTGTTGCACAAAATGTGCAAAGCTTTGGAAATTAACTTTGCCATGAAACTTCCCATACTTTACCCCTGCCCTGCGTGTTGTGCTCCTCTTTAAGCCATTTTAATTTAAAGATGTATTTATTATGGGGAAGAACACGACAGAGAGCACTTTATAAAGGGTTATAGATTTCCATTTGTCCAATAAAGATGTAATATTCCTCTTATTTTTTCTTCTGAATCATTGCAAATGAAGTTACATTGAAGTTTGTAGTTTTGATTTGACAGGGTGTTTTTAAACTTAATTATACAACTTGACTAATCCCTTAATCTTTAGCAGCAAACAAATTCAGTAAGAGCGGGTGAATTTTCCTTCAAAAGGACGACAGCTTCTCTTAACAGAAAATTGCTTTTTTATAGTTAGTAGGGAAATATTTCCTGAAATTATTGAGTGACCTGTACAGTAGCAGTAGGTATCCAATCCACAGGGGGGCGCTGGCGTGTAATAAAAAATAAAGAAAAGAATTGTCAAAGATATATGAGGCAAGATGGTTGTTGCACATCAGCGTTCATTTAAGTTCGTTTATTTTGATTTATTCCATGAGAAGTGTAAGCCTGGGGTCAACCTTAAACTTTTCCAAAAGCTATATGAAAATAGAAATACAGGTAGTTAAAGCAAAAGGGTACAAAAGAATATAAAATACAAAAAATAAAAACACATTTTTAAATATTTTTGAAAAACCGCTAACGTTCTTAAAAAAAATGCATGTTAGAGAGTTTATAATAAATAAAAAGAAAACCAGCCACCAATATAAAGATACACATGAAAATTCTGCGAATAACGGACATTCAGTAACATACAGGTACTTAGAAAAATAGCGTTTGGAGATTTCCCTGAGCTTCTTACACAGTTTAAAATAAACTAAAATAACTTTTATCATGAGGATTTCTTTGAATTTTATTTTTGTACATATACACATCCAAAATAAAATACTATTTATTAAACAAACTGATTTGACGGGAGTTTTTACCAAAGCGGAAGTAGTCGGCAGAGTTCATCTTGTCTCTAATGTGGATCCTGAAACTCCTTGATCGAGGAGACGCCAGGCCGCCCCTGACAACAGAGCCGCCCCTATCTACCGTTAGCAGCAAGTCGGCAACTGTTAAAGAGCACAGCCCTTTGTTTTAGTTGTAGCCGTCCTCTCAGCCTCTCCTGGCTCCCATTGAACAACTCCAGCAGTGTATCCTTCACCATGGCGGCGAGCGCTAAACGAAAACAGGAGGAGAAACATCTGAAGATGCTGAGAGAAATGACGAGTTTGCCTCCCAATAGAAAGTGCTTTGACTGCGACCAGCGCGGCCCAACCTATGCCAACATGACTGTGGGTTCTTTCGTGTGCACCTCCTGCTCTGGCATCTTGTGAGTATTAAGTTGCACACCGGTCTTGGCTCCTATAGATGCAGCGTTTCGAATGTCGGGCAGCCAAAGCTAACAGGCTAACATTAGAAACCTTGGAGCTTAGAGGGGTTTTACTGCTTGACATTGTCTAGTCGTGCTGTACTGGGCGGGGTACATGAGTTGTCAGTGCCCCCACAATGGAAGTGAAAGGGCGACCACCCTCGTAGCTAGTTAACTTTAGCCCCAGTGCTAGCCTGTGAACTTATCTGCCACCTGGAAGCTTCAGATAAGCTTGTAGCCAGAGCTGCTACCAGTTGCTGTTCACATTTCACTAATTCTACTATCTGAGCAAATATGTTCCCCAAATGGTCTGTTAGATTTGGACACCGAACAGCACCCCTTTTCCTGGATGTTAACTTGACACCTGGGCGCGTCAATTCCGTGTTATTTAGAGATGTGACTGATGACTGTCACAGCAGTGGTTATGCCATCAGCAGCTTTCTACTTCATATTTATTATTACCTTATTACCTGTCATTGTGTTATTACCTGACAAGAATCAAATCATCATTTTAAATTGAATTAGCCGATTAAAATACTTTTTTTTACGACAGTAGTTAGTTTGCAAAACATAAATACACAGTAATTAAGCTTTTTATTGTCATTACAATGTCACAAGTTTAGAGCAACGAAGTGAACTCTCTTCATTTAACCCATCCCCTTGGGGAGAAGTGGGCTGCCATTGTGCTGCACCCACTGATCGTGGCAGTCTGTGGGAGTGGGAATTGAACTCAGAACCTCTGGATTCCTAGCTCTGAGCCCTAACCACTTGGCCGCCACTCCCCTACCTCTGCATTCAACCAATCCCCTTGGGGAGCAGTGGGCTGCCATTGTGTGGGACCTAGAGTGGCAGTCAGTGGGAGTGGGAATTGAACTCAGAACCTCTGGATTCCTAGCTCAGCCCTAACCACTAGGCCGCCACTCCCCTACCTCTGCATTCAACCAATCCCCTTGCGGAGCAGTGGGCTGCCATTGTGTGGCTCCAAGGGAGAAGTGTGAGGTTAAGGGTCTTGCTCAGGGACCCAAAGGCTGTGGGTATCAAACCAGGTACTTGCAACCTTCTGAGAGCACAAGTGCACTGCTGTAACCCACTTGGCCAACACTCCCCATAAAATTAAAGTTGATAAATATCTTGGTGTAATCCAGATTAGCTGGTCCTGGAGTCTGAAATTAGCAGAGAAAAGTTGAATATCTTTGTTTCTAGTTGCAGATATACTATAATGCCTTCATATAGCTGTGAAGGGGTTTTAAAAGGTGTTGTGTTGTCAGTTGAGATTATTTGTGGCATTTTAGACAGAAATCTCTTAATTCTATGTTCATTATATATAACATTTCTGGGCCAACAGTATGCAGTGAAATAAACATGACAAGTTTTGTTGTTTTGTTAAAGGAAAACATAATAAAACCCTTAATAAAAAAAAGTATGATCTTAAAGGGGTCATAGAATGATTCTATAGGGTATTTGGTGCCGGTTCTTAAGGTCTCTGAATAGGGTGTGTAACATTGGTTGGGCTGAAAATGGCATATTTGCTGTTCTATGAGCCCCAATGCAAGCCTGGTTATAGGCCTCAAAAGGTTTTCTTCCTTTTATGGTATAGTCATGAATATTTAGATGAGCTGTGTGCTGATTGGTCTGTTTACAACGAGCGAAGCTGCTGAGCAAAGAGGCATCATAGCAACAAGCACTCACTCACTGAAACATCAAATTGTTGATATGGTAGGGTGACCAGACATCCTCTTTTTCCCGGACATGTCCTACTTTTTATACTTAAAAAAAATGTCCCGGTTAGAATTTAAAAGTCATCCGGGATTTTGGCCGTCTACAGTGCAGTAAGCAGAACCGATCCATGAGCTCCCAGGCTGGTCTGGGTCTGAAGCCAGCGGGGGAACCAAACCTGACCCCGTAACGGTAGCCGCGGCCCCGAGCATACCGTCACCTGGCCAGGTTTGGTCGCTCAGTCCTGGCTGGCTCCGGCTCAGGAGCTCATGGCTTGGTTCAAATGAGTGGTCCAGTACAGTCAGGACCAGAACCCAATTTTGGTCACCATAGATATGCATTGCTATGAACAGCTTAGCTACAAAATAGTACTTCCAGCTTGTGGTTGTGATGGCCTTACGGTCGGAACAGCCCCTTGTTTCAGTAAAAGAAGTTTGGCAAATCCTGCTTTGAACTGTCCAAGATTTTGAAAGGTTTCTTTGGTAAAATGTTTAAAGAAAATTAACAGCTGAGCATTAAACTTTGCAGGGATCTTCTGATAGATAAGAATAATCCATGCATCTCGAGTCTTCGGATCCTTGGGGAGACTTTGAAAAATGTCCCCTTTCTCCGTGCAGCCTGGAACATTGCATTTACTCCCGTGGTTCTGGCTAATTTTCAATACTGAAACTGCCTACTTTGTAATCCTTCTAGAAGTAAACCCAACTATAGGCCAAACAGCTAAACTGGTGTTTTACATCTACCTCTATTCATGTTCTTGGGCCGTGAACCAGTGGGCTGGTCTGTGTGTCAATTTTGGGGCGTGACAAAGTACAGGCCAGAACCAAATAAGGCAACATCCCCAAAGTGACGTCAATTCGGGGCTTTGTTTAAATTAGCCTGTTTTATGGTGGAAGTTTATAATTGTGAGATTTCCAGGGAAAGGATGTGTCGATGGGGTTTGAACTTCTCTGTGCGTCCATTTCACCCACTGAACTATCCTTATTCATCTATGATGATGTAAACTCAGTTTTGCATTCTATGACCCCTTTAAGTTTGATGGACTTGTTTTTAAACAGCATTTTTAAATAAATATCTCTAAATATAGAATTCTAAGTTACTTTGATGAATATGCACGGCCGGATGGATGCCTTTTTTGATTTAGTACTGCTGCAGTTATATTTTCGTTTCACTTTCCTTTCACCTTGGATTTGTGTTACATTAGAATTACTGGTGCAACTTGACCCCAATAATTGATAGAAGTACGAGACTGACGTCAACTTCAACCTGACAGAAACGTTGCATATCCTCAAGGCTTATCTTGTGTTCATTCATGCAACCTTTAATTGTTTGAGGAAACTGTTCAGAGATTCTTTCCCGTCTTTTTTTAAAGATGTGCCTCAAGTGGGTTGTGATTGTAGGCTCAGGAAGTGGTGCGGCCCCACTCGACTGCTACATCAGCAGCATGTGATGCATGTGTGCAACAGGAAGTGGCTGGGACAGCAGGTCACTGTCTCTCTTCTTTCTAATTTTTTTGGAGTGACAATGCACTTGCAGGAGATCATGTTATGACCAGACTGAGATTAAAATTTATTTGAATTGGTCTAAGACAATAAAAGGATGTAACAATAAGCAGGTTTGTATTTCATGATAAATTCAGTTGGAAAACTTGTGCTAACTGTCCTAAAAAACGCATAGACTTAAAAAACTTTTATTATTTTGTATAAACAAAGTGTATACAACATAAAATTTCATTTAGTAAAGCTTTTCAGACAGTAAATGAACATTTCCATTCCATAAAGTGCAGCAGATATTCTTTTTTTGTGATGCTTTCACGGCTAACACTTTTATGACTGTAACTATGTAGCTAAACAGTTGTGATTTGAGAGATGGAAACAAAAAAATGAATGTGTGAATTTACAGGGTTCAGTGTTGGCACAAAGACAGTGCAGATTTATCTTGTAAAAGCTGTACTGCCTTAAAACACTGGACAGTTAGCAGGCAACCCTCAGCGGGTCTAAACAGTGATCAGGTTATAGCCACTGGGAGCATCGTAGTTTATTATATTGTGACTAAACCAGTTGCAATCTGCTGCAAAATCAGCTTAAAAAAAGAAATCTAAATTTATCACAGAACATTTTTTTTTCTGTCTAACAGTTAAAAAAAAAACAGATGATTAATAGTTCTGACAAAAAAAAGTGTTATCTGTTAATGCCTCCCTAACAGCTGTTGCAAAGGTTAAATTACCCAGCAGCATGAATCAGTGTTTGGAAGGAGGCTTTGTGGGTTCTTTTTTTGTACAATTGTTTGAAAGGAAAGAAAAGGTTTCCAAATAGAAAATAAATGCATTTATTTTCTATTTGCTCGCAATATATATGGATAAACAGGCAGATTTTGAATAGTTTTCTTGTGTCTTCTTAGGGGGTGACCGTAGGGTCACGACCACTTTTTTCTCCTCATAACCACCAACTCCCTGTTTTAGTTGTGGTTGTTTAATGGGCGGTGTTGGAATCTGCTATGTAAACACATTCCTAGTGAAGGTGGGGACCTTCCCAGGAGGAACACCACTTACAATGTCTCTTTCTGGTAGATTGCTCCTGGCAGGAAGGAACCCCACTCGGACTGCTTGTCCTGAGTAAGCAGGGATACGAAAGCGACAAAACTGCGTCAGGTGTCACATATTTCATAAACACTTACCAGACACAATTTAAAGCATAACATTTTACATTTTTTAATGGTGTTTAAGCAACATTGCATTGGCATAAGCAATGCTCATACACAGTTACTACAGTTTAGTTTGAAATTAAAACTTTTTAAGCCGTGTATTAGATTAGCTCTTTAGCCATTAATGTAGCCTTCATATCGGCTCCTCCACTCCCATGGCGCATAGTATTGCCAGTTTTTCTCACCCTGGAGCCTTTTCAATATGCAAATGAGTCAAGATCTCTGGCTCAGCTCTACGGTGTACAATGGAAACAAGGTCATAATTATTTTACTGTGCAATATGTGATAGCATTTTAATACATGGTGCCAATCGGTAGATATGTAGTGAAATGAGGCAGACTTCTGCTCGTTTGGAAATGTGGAGCAAATTTTAACCAAAGATTGTAGAATTGTGATAGCGGAAGCACTGGTACTCTGTAACTCCTTTTACTTCTGCAATTTCTATGTCCCATTTTAATGACCCAACATACAGTGTGAAATAGCAGATCTGTGGGTGTGACGGGCCTTTACTTCATGCTGGGATCCAGTGTGATATTTTGTTT